GCGCAGCCGCAAGGAGAGCTACTCCGTGTACGTGTACAAGGTGCTGAAGCAGGTCCACCCCGACACCGGCATCTCGTCCAAGGCCATGGGCATCATGAACTCCTTCGTGAACGACATCTTCGAGCGCATCGCGGGGGAGGCGTCGCGGCTGGCGCATTACAACAAGCGCTCGACCATCACGTCCAGGGAGATCCAGACGGCCGTGCGCCTGCTGCTGCCCGGGGAGCTGGCCAAGCACGCCGTGTCCGAGGGCACCAAGGCCGTCACCAAGTACACCAGCGCCAAGTAAACAGTGAGTCGGCTGCGAAGCTTCAACCCTAACGGCTCTTCTAAGAGCCACAATATTCTCAAAGGAGACCTGGTGCTTGTTTTCTTTTGTGCCGGAAGTCGATAGGGTTGCCAAAATACGTGTCTTTGTCTGACTTTAGGGCAATTGCTAGACTTTTAGGACCGTTTCTGTCAAAGGTAAGCTAGAGATCCAATGTCTACTAAAACTAACGTGACTTGTCCTTGGCAAAGCTCCAGAACTAGTATAAGGTAGCATGAAGCTCTGAGCTTTTCATAATCACTTAACTTTATGTTTAAAGGGGTTTGCCAGCATTTTAGTACCGTTAGGGTTAAGTAACGAGACTGAAAATATTTTTAAGTTCCTATCAAAATAACTCGGCGGTCACCTTGTCGGGCAATGAGTTGCACTAGTGCTCGGTTGCAGACTGAGCGGGCAGCGTGAACTTTCTCGCCGCGTCCTGATTGGTTGCCGGTATCCAGGAAGCGAAGGCCGGTTGGTGCGCGGGAGGAGTTCGGACCCAGCTGCCCGCGTCCAGCACAGGCAAACTAGTGAACTGTCCGTCTTGTTTTTCATTCGTTCATTTTCTTTAGCGTTTTTTGTTTTGTTTTTCTCTTTCGGGGATGAGGTTCTTTTCTCTCGAAATATTCGTTGGAGAGAAAGGAATTTGGAGTTTGTAATTTTTAGTCTGAGAAAGATATAATGTATTTCTAATCCCGATACTGTTTTCTCTTTAGCGTATGTCCACATACGTAATCGGAAACACGACAAGACTAAACAGGACTGTTTGGGGTGCAATGAAGGCAATAAGCTTGGGGGCATTTATTTCAGACTCTTCTGAAACACCAGTTTTCAATTTTAAAGTTCATTTCCTTGTACTTTAAATTCTGTTTGACTTTGCCTAAAACTAGTGAGGAAAAACAAGTTCAAGTCATTCGTGTTGTCATAAATGCGAACCAGTTACCCAACAAATGATACTGTTTCTTTAGATTATGACTATTCAAAATTATGTGTCTCTGTTAGGTAAAAATCCAAGGTCTATAAAGCATTTGGAAGTTCCCGCTATGACGAGGTTTTGGTTTAAAAGGTAGTAATTCTACATTAAAAAAGAAAAAGGAAAAGAAAAACCTTGTTGACTCAAGTTCTACTCATTCTCAAAGCCAATTTACATCTTTACCAGTCTCTGAAGTTTCTTTCCTTCTTTGAGCTTCTCTAACATTTAGAACTGACTCCATATAGTTTCATATATATATATATACACATATATATATCTAGAAGAATTGCTCCCTACCTCATTTGTTGTATGTACTTCCATATAGAGAACGTACACTTATTATGACATGAAAAATAAAGAGGGAAAGGAAAAAAAAATATTTTTTGCCATCATTATTTTACAATGATAACTTAGTTCTATGAAAAAATGGAACATAACTTTTCTCATTACTTGTGAGTCACATGAACCTCTGATGTTCTTTACTAATCTAATCGGATGGTAATTTCCAAACTAAATACTTATTTTGTTGTTTCTTTGTCTTATAGGATATAGGAGAATCTGAATAAAAAGCAGAATTTGTGGGAAAAGGAGAGGAATTGGGACAGAAGATGACTCATGAGCATATTGTCCAGCCACAGGTGAAAATTTGTAAAGACTAAATTTTTGAAAATTAATACGGAGTTAAGTTGAAAAGGTCCTGGCTAATTCTCCTATTACTCAGAACATTAAACTGCCTAAAAGACAAATAAATCAAACCTTTTGGGTTTTTTGCACCTCAGCCAAGTCCTTTTAAGAATAAGGGCAAGAGTTTAATCCTTTGCTCGAAAA